AGAGTTGATCTTAATGACGTGGATGCAGTCAAGCTTTTGGGACCTTCATTTGCTGATGTGGCACAACTCAAAATGAAAAGAAACAGCTGCAAACATCCATTAATAATTGGAACATGGAATGTACGAAACATGAATCTAGGAAAATTGGAAGTCATCAAAAATGAAATGCTTGAAGATCGATATCCTAGACATTAGTGAGCTGAAATGGACTGATATTGGCCATTTTGAATTGGACAATCGTATGGTCTACTGTGCCAGGAATGATAAATTGAAAAGGAATGGTTTTGCATTCATTGTCGAAAAGAACATTTCAAGATCTATCCTGAAGTCCAATGCTGACAGTGATAGGATAATATCCATAGGCCTACAAGGAAGACCAGTTAATATAAGCATTATTCAAATCTACCCATCAACCACAAAGGCCAAAGATGAGGAAATTGAAGAGTTTTTTACCAACTTCTGCAGTCTTAAATTGATCAAACATGGAGTCAAAATGCACTGATAATTGCTGGTGACTGGAATGTGAAAGCTGGAAAAAAAGAAGGATCAGTAGTTGGAAAATAAGGCCTTGGTGATAGAAATGCACCAGAGATAGCATGATGGAAATTTGCAAGACCAAGGACTTATTGATTGCAAATACCTTTTTTCAACAACATAAATGGCGAGTATACATGTGGACTTCACCTGATGGAATAGATAGGAATGAAACTGACCACATCTGTGGAAAGAGAAGATGCAGCTCAATATCATCAGTCAGAACAAGGCCGGGGCCAACTGCAGAACAGATCAAAGATTGCTCACATGCAAGTTCAAGTTGAAGCTGAAGAAAATTAAAACAAGTCCAGGAGAGCCAAAGTATGATCTTGAGTACATCATACCTGAATTTGCAGACCATCTTAAGAATATATTTGATGCATTAAAAACTAATTACTGAAGACCAGAGGAGTTGTGGAATGACATCAAGGACCTCCTATAAGAAGAAAGCAAAATGTCATTAAAAAGACAGGAAAGAAAGAAAAGACCAAAAGATGTCAGAGGAGACTCTGAAACCTGCTCTTGAATGTAGAGTGGGTAAAATGAACAGAAGAAATGATCACGTAAAAGAGCTGAACAGAAGATTTCAAAGGGTAGCTCGAGAAGACAAAATATTATAATGACATATGCAAAGACCTGGAGTTAGGAAACCAACACGGAAGAGCTCAATTGGCATTTCTCAAGCTGAAAGAACTGGAGAAAAAATTCAAGCCTCAAGTTGTAATACTGAAGGATTGTATGGG